GAGAATGACTGGTAGACAGCCTAGTCTGGCACGTGCTCATTTTATAAAGGAGTAAGCTGAGATCCAGAGAGTATTAACTAATCAATCACACAGCCAGTTGGTGGGAGAGCCAGCATTGCAACTGAAGTCTCCTGACTGCCAGGCTGGTGATTTTTCTACTCTATCATACCTCCTCAGGACATAAGGCTATGAATGGCTCCAAACTAAACCAGATCTCCAAGTGTGTATCCTAAGACCTGTAGGATTCACCACATCTGCTCTGGAAGCATCTGAGTCTTTCAGGAGTCAATAGATCCAGGCCTTAGCTGAAGTTTGATTGAACTTCTGTAGTAGGTGGTGGGATATGGGGCAGACATATCAAGCTAATAATTATATCCCATCTTTTATAGGAAGATTAACTTCTGTGGGAGGTGGGAAGATAGGAAGCAAATATAACCATAGCATAATAAAATCTCATCTTCCACAGGAAGATTTCCCAGCTCCTCTTAACTCTGGTGCCTTCCCTCTACTACTTATTTCCTATTTATCCTGTATATAGCTTGTTTTGTATATATTTGTACCCATGTTGTCTCCCCCATTAGACTGCAAGCTCCTTGAGGACAGGCACTTTTGCCTCTTGCTCTATCCTCAGGGCTTAGCACAGTGCTGGCCACATAGTAGACACTTAATAAATGTGTACTGATTGATTAGTAATAATAACTCAATTTTTATGATACTTTAAGGTATGTAAACCCTCCTCGGCACAACCTTTTGAGACATGTCATTATTCCCATTTTACAGATGTTGAAACTAAAAGCTTGGAGAACTGAAATGACATCACACAGCTAGTAAACATCAGGGTCAGAATTTGAACCCTGGATATCTAAAATATGAACTCAGTATTTTTGTTTCCTTACTATATAGTTTCTCTCCCTTTTTTTTTAAAAAAAAATCATACGATTCTTCTTCATGGTATATATTTCTTCTTTCTGATCTACATACGCTTTCTCATTCATATCTGTCATCACAATGAGAGTAGACTTACCAAACACTAGAATTGACGATCAACAACTCAGAGTTTCCATTTCTTTCCAAAAAAGATGTTTAGAGCCAGAATTTGGTCTCAGGAAGATAGCCAACCAGTCATTATACTTTTATTAAGCACCTACTGTGTGCTAGGCATTGAACCGAGGGCTAGAGATACAAAAAGAAGCAAAAGACAGTCTCTGCCCTCAAAGAGCTTACAACCTAATGGGGGAAACAACATACAAAGAACTTTGTACAAACAAACTTTATACGGGATAAATTGGAAATAATGAACAGAGGGGAGGCACTGGAATTAAGATAATTGCCTAGGTTGCAACAAGAGATATTTTTTATATCACTCTGTGTACATGCATGTATTTCAAAAACAACAACAACAAAGTATCTCTTCATAGAACATAAAGGTACTTTTTGATAAGTCACATAATATCACAATGAAGATTCACAACCAATAACATGAAGGACCCAATTTTAATATTTTCCCTTCTTTTCAGTCCTTCAATCAGCGAGCATTGATTAAGTGCCTACTCTGTGTCAGGTACAGTGTTAGACCCTAGGGATACAAATGGAAAAAATAAAATACACCCTGCCCTCAAGCACCTTATATTATATCAGAGGCTATACCATGTCTTCATGTAGGTATATCCTGCAGCCCAGGTTAGGAGGTAATAATTCTTAAACCTTCCCTAAAATGAATGTAGTGCATAATAATTACATTTCTATAGCACTCATTCTTTGCCCGTGACAACCCTGTCAGTTAGGAAGTACAATTCAGTTCAATTCAGTTCAATCTGACAAACATTAAGTTCCTACTGTGTGTAAGGCACTGCAATTAATACCCCTAGTCTCCAGATGAGAAAACTTAGGTTACGAGAGAAAAAATAATTTTAGTTAGTTAGCTGTTAGTTGTTCAGCCAGCAAATAGTCACCAGTATTACAACCCAGCTCATCTTGACTCTTCCTCTTCATTCTTGTGCTCTTACCAATGTTCAGAATTATACTTTTAAATATTTGCCTTCCTGATTCAGGTACAGATGTACACAGTGTGAAGTCTTGCCAGGATTTGTTGTAAGAAAGACTAGCTTGCATTCCATGAAATTGGTTTGTTTTCAATTGACATCATCCTCATATTTTTAATGGCAATAGCATTTTCCCCCCAATAAGTACTTGACATTCAGAAAGTTCAAGTTATGCATTAAAAGCACTGCAGGAAAGTAAACTTTAATGAAAAAATTTTTCCACCCAATCCCAGAGGGAACATAAGCACTCAAAACTGAATGATACATGTGACAAAAGGCACAACTAAGGCTGAAAGCATTTATGATGGAGTACAGGATAGAATTTCCACTTTGTCTTCTGTCTACATCCTTAGACTAGCTGGATTTATAAGTTCAGAGCAGATCAGTAGAGCATTCCTTCTCAAAGGTGTGGAGGAGCTAAGTAATTGAATAAATCTGGGTGGCTTTAGAAATGGTAGAGCTGGGGAGGATGTCTTGAGCAGCTCAGCATTTTCTTTGAATGTATTTCTCTGCACGTGTGTGTGTGTGTGACATGTATTTAAACAAACCTTTGCACAGATTGGCATGGTGAAATGGGCCAGAATTCCCTCTAGCATTTAAGAATGTGTTTGGTTTCCTTCTCTGTCTTTTACAATTTGGGGGGTGGAGAGGGAATGAGCTTTTGGGCCAGAGAGAAAGAGCTTCAGTCAAGAAGAGTATTTGGCATTTCCCTCATGACCACATACCTCCTGAAAGCTATTAAAGTGAATTCAGAATAATTCAGCCTGGGGATGTGTAGGCTGCCTTAGGATTTACAAACTGGACATTCCCACTGGAGGAACTTGACCATGTTGGGATTAGATTTTGAATGAACAGACATCTATAAAAAGATGATGCACTTACTCTGTTGTTGAATAGGACAGAATAACTATTTTATGGGTGGGGCTTTTTTTCTCTAAATTGTTAACAGATTCTCACACTCCTCTGCCCCAGCCCCCCTTAATTTCACTCATCCATTGGATTTTGTTGGAGGTTTTTGTTTGTTTGTTTTGTTTTGGTATGCGGTAGGAACATGCACACTCAGAACAGTGTCTTCCTTCACATTTGGATTAACATCCCCTTGAAATCTTGATCATGAAACAAATTTCTACAACTTAGGTTTTTAAGGGACTTTGAGGTTATTTCATCCAAACACTAACCAAAATATATTCTGTCTACAAAATCCTTGACAAATGGTCATTCAGCCTCCAAATAAACATCTCCATTCTTGGAGGCTCGGACCCCTGTCTAGCCCTCTGCTCATTCTGCACTTACACACTGGTTATTTTGAATGCAAATATAGGACTGGATATGATGCCTAAATTTCACCTCATTTGTTTTGGTTCACCTTTTCAATCTTTTGGGATTTCACTGGATTCTAATTCTTTCTTCTAGCATTAATATCTCTACTTTCCCACCTGTAGACAGTATTTGTATAATTGAATAATTGTAGACAGTATCTACAATTTTTTTTTTTGGTTAGTCAGTTGGGGTTACGAGACTTGCCCAGAGTCACACAGCTAGTGAGTGTTATGTGTCTGAGTTCGAATTTGAACTGAGGTCTTCCTGACTCCAAGGCCAGTGCTGTCTCCACTGTGCCACCCAGCTGCCCCCAGTATTTACAAATTTGATGCCTTCATCTAAACTGGAGGTAGAAAGTTGGACTTGTCATTAGTAGAGTCTTAAGTTAAAAATCCTGATCATTCCATGTAGTATGTGTGACCTTGGGCAAATTAAGCGAACTCTGAATCTCAGTTTCCATTTATAAAATGGGGATGATAGTAAAGTATCTGTTTTGCAAGATTGTGATGAAAGTACTTTGGAAACTCAAAGAAATAGATCTATGTGAATGGCAGCAGGGCAGCAGTATGGTGTAATGGATAGATCCCTGAATCCTGCCTCAGATACCTAGAAGCTGTGTGATTCTGGCAAAGTCCCTTAAACTCTCAGTTTACCCATATGTACTAGACTTTATGACTTCTAAGGAAGGCCCCTTCCAGCTCTGAATCTGTGATTCCATGATTAAGCAGATCAAATCTAAAAGCAAAGAGCCCCATGGTACTATACTTGCTTCTGCTTTCATCTTTAGAGAATATCAGCTTCATTGAAAATTGGTCTGAAATAACTATCAGTGTTTATTGTTTTACTGTAAGTTGTAATAAAATCACAGGTAAATATGCAAAATGCTTTTTAAAATCTCCCATATGAAGTAAAAAACAAGTCTTGTACTGAGATTTGGTAGGGAAAGATGGAATCACAGAATTTCTAACACACCCTGTGACTTGTCCTGTTTCTTATTCTGAGTTTATTACCCTAGTAGTGCAGATTGGAGAGAAGAAGGAAGATTTGTTCTGGACATCTCATTGAAAAATAATTTTAAAACCTTTTCCCCTCTTCCTTTTTCTTCATTGTTCTATTACTTTCCTGTAAATCACTGGGCAAGCTTTTTAACTCTTTTCTGTGCACATTTTCATCTGCAATGTGAGGAAACAGATGTTTATTGCACTGGAAAGCCTTTTTACAAGTTATTTCAATCATGTAAATAAGCTTTCTTCCCATTCCCCTTGACTCTCTCCCATCTTTGGAAATCCAATGCCAGGACTCATAAGGAGATATCCCAGAACACATATTTCCTTCTTGGCTCAGTACAGCTGACAAAAGACCCCAAAATGGGTGTGAAAAGATCCTGAAGTTCTGTTGGAATGAATTATAAAATGGCATATCTTAAATCTTTTCCTGAATTTGTAACCTTGGTTGCACAGGGATTCCAGAGATTCAGTTGCTATATAACAAAGTATACCTGATCACATTATAATGTGTTGTGGTTTTTCTTTTTTTTTTTTCCCTGCTCAAGCCACAGCAACCAAACCAAAACCTAACAATGGCAATGGAGTCTCTATGAAATGAGTTTATTCTACTAAGCATCTTATTGTTCTTCAGATCCTAGCCAAAAGACGTTCAAAAGAAGAAGATCTATCATAAATTGGGCCTTTTGGCGAGGCTCCAGCACGCATCTGGACAATATGCCAGCATCTCCAACATCCCCGATGCCAGGGCAGCTCTTTGGGGTTTCGCTGTCAGAAATTTGTGAGAATGACAACCTGCCCAAACCTGTTTTGGTGAGTCTCTCTCCATTCTGCCCAGCTACATACCACAAAAGGTAAAAGAGTTTTTGGAAGGAAGAGCATGACAGCCTAGCAATTTGCTTTTGAAATTGGTGTTCAGTGTTTGGTGAGTAGGGAGGTCATTCCAGGCAAGGGAAAGAAAGGGAATGAGCCAAAGTAGAGGTGGAACAATGCCCAAACTCTCATCCTCACCTTTTCTTTCCCCTCTGTGCAAGAAAAGGGCAAAACATCAAGAACAAAATGCAAGTGATGCTTCCTTCACCAGATCCTAGTTCTTCTGGATTGAGTGTGGGCAGAGAATGGGTGAACCAGATCCCAGGATGGTTTTTCTATGACTGGTTAAAGACAGAGATAGTCACAAAGAAAGGAGTCAGAGAGATTCTTGGAAGATGCTTTGAAGCTGAAGTTTTAAAATGTGCCTTGAGTATGGACTTAGACCCTAGCTATTTGACTCAGATGAAGTCTCTTAAACTCTCAGGTCCTCTGTTTCCCCAAATGTAAAATGAGGAGACTGGACTTGATGACCTTATGTCCCTTGCAGCTCCAAATCCATGATGCTATAATTGAATTGAATAGAACGGGCTGACTAGCCTGATCTTAAGGCTCTAAGGAATGAGGTGGCTTGTGGTGCAAAGAACTAAAGATCTGGGAGGCAGTCACAAAGCATCTTTGAGCTAGGTGGCTCAATGGATAGAGCACTGGACCTGGAGTCAGGAAGACTTGAGTTCAGATCAAGATGAGATATTTGTAAAGAGTATTTTAACCTTTAAAGGGCCATATAAATGGCATATACATATGTGTGTGTGTGTGTGTGTGTATTTATGTAAATAGTGGGGTATGATCTACTAGTACCAAAGAAATTTTTCAAGATCACATTTTATGGATCACTCTATTCACATTGCCCAGGAAGGACAGCAATGCAAGTGCCATAATCCCTTTTACTCCAGAAGCTTCTGACTACATACCAGCGCCCTGGCTGTAACATCTGCTTCCCTGCTATAATTCCTGCCTTGAGCACAAAGTTGGATTCGATGACCTTTAAGGAACCTTCTATGATTCTAAATTATCTCTCTAGCTTAGAGTCTCTTGGAACACTGTAGGTCTCTCCTCTGTATTTACTGTCCTATAACTTGTATTATTCTAGATGAATTTGCCACGGAAGGGCATGGGATTCTATTGTGAAGGTCTTTGAGGGACAGGAACTGTCTTCTAAATGAGTCTTAGAAAATTTGTGTGTGTGTTTGAGTTTCTATACAGATGTGTCTTAGACCTGCTCGTCTACCCTGGAGCTAACTTCCTGTTCGATACTTTGTTCACAAAGCTACTTGAACTAGAATATCCGCTGTGTATCTCATTGCCCATGCCCCAGACATTGATCCTACCCTTTTATGGTGATAGAGAAGGTGGGGCAACAACCTTGCCCTTGGCCCTCCAAGCCAACTTGGTCAGCCTTTGAAGTTGGTGGTGGTAGTGGTAGTTGTCATTGTTGTCATCATCTTTGTCATTCACAGTGGATCTTGGGAAGCCTTCTCTTTTCCAAATTCTTTCCAATGACTTTGTCTGATCATTGCCCTGAGTAGCCTGTTGTCATTCTGATCCCCTTTATTTAAAGGCCAGGGGTTCTAAAGCAGAACAAGTCAGAGATCTTCAAATTCAATTACTAAGCCCTGGGGATAGAAAGACAAAAATCTTAGGTTCGATTCCTCTTTCAGGCTCAAATTGTCTGAGTGACTCTGAACAAATTACCAGATCTCTCAGTATTCTCAGCATCTTTTTTTAAGACTATTAGTTGAATCTTTTTTTTTTTTCTTTGAGTTTTGTTGCACAAAATTACTAATATGGAAATGTTTTCCATGATTGCACACATATAACCTATTTCAGAATGTCTACCATCTTGAGGAGGGAGGGAGGGAGGGAGGAATAGAATTTGGAACTCAAAACTTAAAAAAAATTAAATTATTTTTACCTGTAATTGGGGGAAAATAAAATATTATTTTAAAAAAGACTGTAAGTTTCAGAGAAGGTGCTCTCCTACCTTAGTTGAGTGTCCTCACCAGGGAATTCCCTATATCAATGAAATCACAGGTTCAGGTCTTATCTCTGTCACCTCAGAAGGTGGGGGGGCCCCCACCTGAATAGTGGTACTAGAACATCAATGTTAAGTAGTATTAGACAACATTTCCCAAGCCACCACTTATGTCCTCAACACTATACTAGACACTATAAAAAGACAGAAAGGAATAGCACATACATACATGAAACAAATTGAAGATTCTTTACAAAGCAATATGCAGTTAGTGCCAATTAATACACTGGTGATGCTGAGAATGTAATTAAATTAGGTTTCCTACTGGAGGGTGATATTTGAGCCTGTTTTTCAAGGTAAGGCAAGTTGATAAGCATTTATTAAGTGCTTACTATGTGCCTAGGCACTTTGCCGAGCGCTAAGGATACTAGTACAAGCACAGACAGACTCTGCCCTCAAGGAGTTTACATTCTCATGAGGGAAGACAATACATAGAAAGGGAGCTGAAAAGCAGGAGGGGTGGGAACGTATCTACTTGGGGGGGGTGTATGGAGGGAAGGGCTTTCTGGCAGAGAGGATAGAAAGAATGAAACATTTGAGAAACAGAGATGTAAAGATAAGCCAGTTTTAGAATCAGGACCCTCAAGTTAGAGGGGACCTCAGGGATTGCCTCTTTCAACCTCTGCATGAGTATGAAGTTGCTCAGGAAAGCCTGGAGCCATGCCATAGAGTAATGAGGAATGAGAGGAGTCAGTCAATGGGACCATAGACTATCTGCAGGACTGCAGATTGAGAGCTGGGAGGGATCTTAGGACCATCTAGTCCAGCCCCTTCACACTTAACTGTTGCTCAGTCGTTTAGTCGTGTCTGACTGTTCATGACCCCAGGATCACAGCATGCCTTTCTATCCTCCACTGTCTCTCAAAGTCTAAGTTCATGTTCTCATCCTCTGCTGTCCCCTTCTCCTTTTGCCTTCAGTCTTTCCCAGCATCAAAGTCTTTTCCAATGACTCCTGTCTTCTCATTATGTGGCTAGAGTATTTAAGCTTCAGTCTTTGACCTTCCAGTGAATAGCTTGAATTAATTTCTGTTGAGTATTGACTGATTTTGATCTCTGTGCCGTCCAAGGGACTCTCAAAAGGCTTCTCCAGCACTAGGATCCCGCAGGGTGTAACCAGTTTGAGGCGATGTTCAAAGAAGGGCTTTCCTTCTAGAAGTTGGGTTCTTGACACAGCATCATTGCAGCCTCTTGGTCTTTAAAGGCCTGGCAGAGGAATATGGATGAGCTACCATAAGCATCCAGGAGAACTGTAGGTTCATGAGCAGAGCTGTGATAGGAGAGGCACTGATGGCATATTGCTTTAATAACTGTGTAATAGAAAGTCAGGGAAGGGAGGCAGCGGAGAGAACTATAGAATATCCAGAAGAATTGATCCATGATATCATGTCATACATCAGTGATACTTTTTCCTGAGCCTCAGCTTCCCGGGGATGTCAGCAGGCAGGGCCCGGTCTTTGACTGCCAGAAAGTGCAGAACATACTCACTTGCCAGTGTGTGTGAAAGACTGTCTTGTTTTCTTTTTTCCCTCCCAACAGGACATGCTTTCCTTCCTAAATAAAAAAGGGCCTCTCACGAAAGGCATTTTCAGGCTTTCTGCAAATATCAAATCCTGCAGAGAGCTGAAGGAGAAACTTAACTCAGGAGCTGAAGTGGATTTAGATGGTGAATCCATTTTTGTGACAGCATGCGTCTTAAAGGTAGGAAAAGGCTTCTAGCCTGCTCCAGGGCTTCCACTAGGCGTAGGCGTGGGCATGGTGTAGTTGGTTTCCTTCATTTGCAGGAAACGTTATTAGATTCATATTCTCTGGGAAAATAAATAAAAGCTTCTTCCAAATAGAATTGAAGTTGGCACCCACAGACTTTCAAAGCCTCCACCTCGAGGTGACATGAGCCACTGCAGGCAGCTTCCCTCACATACTATAACACCTCTCTCCACACCACCTACTCTTCCATGGGCCTCCCCTCTCCCCTATCCCCACAGCATCCCCAGGCAGCTAAAATAAATTTTTAAACAAATTAAAAATGTGTTCACCAAACAAAGCCTTCCCAATAAAGGCAAAATACAAAATTCCAAACTTTTTGTAGTTCTTTGAAATTAAAAAAAAATTCAACTAATTCTGAAATAATAAAACTGCTCGGAGACAGCATGCTAACGCTACCATAGTCACTTTTATACTTCTTCCTCTCATTTTTTTCTTCACGTTTAAAAAATGTGAAGATAAGATGGGCATTACTTGAGCCACAAGGAGGGCCTCTTCCTTTTCCTATCCTAATTACTGACCCATATAACAGAACAGGAAGAGACCTTTGTTTTGACCTAGTCCAGCCCTCACCCTTTACAGATAAAGAAATCAAGACCCAGAGAAGGCTTCTTTGCTCAAGGTTATTAATCGTTGAGATTCTCTTCCTTTCTTTTTCATCCCAATCCCACTTACTAAGGTCTTCCACAAGGTCACATGATGATTCCTGGTAAAATTAATTGGTCTATTTTTCTAAAATGTCTTCCTTCAGAAATTCTGCACAATCTTAGAATGCAGTGGCCAGAGTCAGTAGCTGCTTTACCTAGGGTTTTGAGGGAAAGAAGGCTCAGGCAGACATTGCACCTCCAATCATGGTTTGCTTTTCACAGCACTAGAGATGGCCTGGAATGGCAGCAGCTTGTCATTCTTATTCCAGCAAATACAAATGAAAAGCAGAAATGAAGAAAGAATGGAATTATACACAGTTAGGTAATTAGTCAGTCAATAAGCATATAATAGCACCTACTCTGTACTAAGCACTATGCTAGGTAATGGAAATATATAAAAATGCACAATGTGGTTCCTGTTCTCAAGAAGCTTCCAGTCTAATGGGAGTAGATGGCATGCAAACAACTGTGTGCAAACAAGATATATACAATATAACTGGAGGCGATCAACAAAAGGGGAAGGCATTAGCTTTTAGAGGGGCATCAGGCAAGGTTTTGGGGAACCCTGACTAGTTCTCTTCTCATAAGTTTGCAGCTGCACCTTTAGTTTAGTCTTATTAAGTGAGTTTATGTGGAGGTCATCATTTATTAACAAATATACATGTTTTATCTGTTCCCTATGAAATTGTTGTGGATGATGCAAAAAAAAAAATGCAATGTTAAGTCCTGTTCTATATCTGCTTTTTCTTCCTTGTCTTTAGTAACTAATATGTGAGCTTCCCAGTATTCCCTACACATTACAATATACCCACACACATAATTCATGGCATCTTGCCAGTGTTTTGGAGTTTATTTAATCAGTTATGAGGTTCTGTATAGAGCTATCTCACCTAAAATTTTTCATTATTTCCACAAAAATGAGGAAGTAGTGTTGCAAGAAGGCAGTTACATTCATTTCAGCAGCATTAGAAAGAGGGTGATTAGTCCCTGATCAGCCAAAATTTGAACTAAAAAGCTTAAAATCAGGCTTTATCAAGAACTGAGACTATAATAGGGCTGGGCCAGGATGCTCAGAAAGCCCCCTAAAGCTTGCTTTTCAAACCAGCCAACTGAGGAAGATGAAGTAGACGCAGCAGACTGGGGAGACAAAAAGCTAAAATTTCAGCAATTTTCTGGTCTAATGCTTTCCTTTCCTTGAATCCTCTCTCCCTTTTTTGGAGATAGAATTAGAAATGATCACTGTCGGGATGATTAATCTCCCCAGAGGAGAAGAGCCAAGGCAAAGTACTGAGATATGGTGGTGGTAGTGGTGATAGTAGTGGTGGTGCTGCTGCTGCTGCTGCTGCTGATAACCATAGCTAACATTTCCATAGCTCTTTAAGGTTTGCAAAATGCATTACAAATATTCTCTCATTTAAATCTCACAACTACCCTGAGAAGTAGGTGTTTTTGATCCTTGTTTTGATAGGCTAATTTTTCAGTATTGGTATGATCAGCCATAGCCAGACAAAAACTCTCCATTGACCTCAATATCGTAATGTCATTTTGGTCTTATTTGAGCATGGAGGACAAACAATTTGAACGTGATGGTAATTTAATAGAGCTGGAGTCTGGGGACTCATTAGCAAGTCATGATCCTCTTCAAAATCTGAAGGACAACAAATGGAACCGTAAACCTATAGATTTTATTTTAAAGATCTTAAGTTTTGTTTTTGTTTTTTTCTTTTTCCCTGTTTGTTCTTTTTTTACACCCCAGAATTATCAAAGTAGATTAATTTATTTAATGCCTCATAATTCTAAATAAGGCTACCACTGTTGATCAGAGTGCATGTCTTAGGAGTAAACTATTTGTATAATAAAGTGTTTAATAAAGAGTGAAATTAGAGTTGGGCACACTAGAGCTGAATTTGAGCAGGTTGATCTTTGGGAATAACGAGGATAGCAGGAAACTGACATCAAAGCAGGACTAATGGATAATATATATTTTAATATGCTACATTATTAGCATTATATATTATATTAACATTCTGTATAATATAACATATTAGTATTATATATTATTAATATTATATTATAAATGGATGATAATATAAAATGATGTAGACCATTTAAACTTTGTATAAGGTATTTCTGTCTCCCCAGTATGGTTTGAGAGTTCAACCTATAATCGTTTATAGAGTAACAAACAACAGTATTATAAGAACTCACAGAATTGCTCTTTAAAAATCATTGGATAACCCTGGGCAAGTCACTTAACCCCATCGCCTAGCAAAAAATAAAATAAAATAAAAACCATTGGAGAGTGCATAGGGCCTCCTTGCATTCTTCTAGTAAAGCATGTCTGCATCCAGCCAATGAAAGTCAAGAAAGGTCAAAGCGTATATAAGAGTTTTGGGTCTCATAGAAAAAAAGAAAATAGATTTTGGTCATTGAAAAAAAATAAAGCCTTACACACACACACACACACACACACACACACACACACACACACACATATGCATAATCCACTTCCTTCCTCCCAGGGTTATGAGGATCTGAGGAGAAAATGTATCTAGAAAACTCTTTGTAACCATAAAATGCTTATAAGCATTAGCTCTTACCATTTCTATAAAGCATGGTAACTCTCAGGTCTGTTGGGTAGTACTTTAGGGCAGCTAGGTGGTGAATTGGATAGAGTGCTGGGCCTTGTGTCAGAAAGATTGAACTTCCTGAGTTCAAATCTAGCCTCAGACATTTATTAGCTGTGTGACCCTGGGCAAGTCACTTAACCCTGTTTGCCTCAGTTTCCTCATCTGTAAAAATAATCTAGAGAAAGAAATGGCAAACCACTCCAATATCTTTTCCAAGAAAACCCCAAATGGGGTCACAGAGAGTCAGACACAACTGAAACTCCTCAATAAGAACTTAAGGCACCTCCTAAAACATCAAGGACAAAAGGAGATAAGTCTCAGTTCAGGCTGTGGAATGTGTTTGCTCGATGGCATTTCAGTTAGTGAGGACTTACTTTATAGGTTGTTACAGCCCTGGGGAAACAATTGAGCCGTAAGAATGCCTGTTCCAGGTTGCTCCAGGCCTCTTCTCTGTTTTTCCTTAGCATTCCTTAATGCGGCCCCGTTGGCCCCTTGCCACACCTCTGTCCCTGGAATATACTTTAATGTATCAGCAGTGAGGAGAACACTTCATGCCACTGAAGTGAGAGAGGCTTGTTAATACATCAACTTGAGTCTTCTATGCTATAGGAAAATCAGAGTTAAGTGCTGCATAAATAAGGAGCCCGGAGTGTATGGATCAGTACATTGGGTAAAAGACAAAAGCTGTCCTTTTGATTCTGAGCAGTATCCTATTTGGGAGTTTCACATAGGTTATCAGAGGCAGCTCATTCTTAGGCATCACTACCACAGGAAGAAAAAAATGGGGTTTCTCAAGCTGAACCTCCCTATTATCTTTTCTCACTTGCTGTGGAAGACATAGGATAGGAGCGGTGCTTTGTTTCGGGCTCACCACTCCCGCAGCACATCAAGGGAATTGCCTAATGGGTGAAGGCAAGGGCCGGACAAACTCAGGGAATGTTCTTACTGGGGAAAACCAGGAATGCAAATGAAGTCAATTGATTGGCATGGCTTCTTTGAGCTTGGTGCAGTGTCACCATATTTCACAAAACAAAAAAATCAACAGATTTGCTAGGCTAGACAACAGGAAAACAAACACTGGTAGGATGATAAATAATCTGGGAAAGACCCACAATGGATTTTTGTTCCGGTTGTAGCAAAGGCCAATAACCATGTTCCCCCACTCCCACACCTAATCAACTAATTAAATGCGTGATTAAAATGCCTAGGCCAGTAGCTTAGAAAAATCATTTTGTGTTCACTCTGTGTGGGGCCTAATTCTTCTAAACTGCCAGCAGATACTGCAGCAGAACATGGTTATAGGTGGATCAAGTGGTGTTTGATTAGTTTTCAGAAATATGGCCTTTATTGTGCTACATCAGTCAACCAACCAAGCACCTACTATGTGCCAAGGCACTATACTACGTGCTGAAGGTGTAAATACAAAAGTAAAACAATCCTTACAATGAACTTATGTACTGTTGGAGGAGGCAATAAGTTCATATAAAAATAGATATAGCATAAATATCAAGTTCATAGATACAAATATGTATATAGGTGTATGAGGCAGCTAGGTGGCCCAGTGGATAGAGTGCTGGGCCTGGAGTCAGGAAGACTCATCTTCCTGAGTTCAAATCTGGCCTCAGACACTTATTAGCTGTGTGACCCTGGCTAAGTCACT